AGATTTCTTCTTAAAGCAGTGACACATCCAATATGCTCAGCAATTCAATAATATTACACGTTTGCTTTCTCAATCTGATGTGTCATGAGCCAGTAAATAGTAAGATCAGGCATTGAGAAGGACACCAGTAATGTGTTCATAAATGTTTACTGGTTGGCGTAAAAGAGGGGGGGATGTCCCTGACTTGCCACATTCGCCAATTTCTCTACTATAAATATTCTCAAGTTACCATCATAATGTCACTGAACACTAAAATGGGAAAAGAGGTGAACAATCTGATCTTGAGGAGGTGACACAAATGAATTCCTGCACTTGGCACTGGATTAGCCTACAGGCACTGAAAACTGTCCCCTTGTTTTTTGTTGGGATTTTTTTTTACAGGCCAGAGATGCGGGGGGTGGGGGGGTGGAGCAGGGGTGGGGGGTGGAGCGGGGGCGGCCCCCCCCAGAGGTGGAGGTGAGAGGATCCTTCTGACTTATTTCAGCTAGCGCAGTCCCTTCCAGCTCCATCCATGTTGCAGTACTATTTACAACTGCTAAGATATGGAAACAACCTAATGCTCCAAAATAGATAAATGGGTCAAAAAGTTGTGGTATATATACACAATGCAATACTACTGAGCAATCAAAAAAAGATAAACTCATGCCATTTGTAGTAATGTCCCTTGTCTTATACAGAGCCTCTCCCTACTCCCTTGCTCTTGATACCACAGACCTTATCAACACCTCATCAATGCTTTGTCTGGCTCTTGTCCCCCTAAACCACACCTTCTGATGATTCTGAATCCAAACCGTTATGAACCTATCACTTATATTTTTTACCTTTATTAACAAACAGAAATGGTGGTTTTTCTCACCTTCCTCACCACACTGTGTGATTTCTTAGAATACTCTTCTGTGTTAAGTACTAAATATTCTAAAACAAATTATATAAAAAAGACATAGAGCCAGCAGCAGGAGGAGATAAGCAGTTAAATATTACTGAGTGAACATTATGTTGGAAATTAGATAACAATTGTGAATTAAGCAATTTCTATATTTACCATTCACTATTCATACTCTTACATAAAAGTACCCTATAAAAATATAGTGGGTCCTGCAAATATAAAGTCTGAGTTTCCTATTTTAAAAAATGCAGTATTAATGTCAGAAAGATACTAGTGACAATCTCCACTCATACCAACAGTGTGGCCTTATATAAACTGCTTAACTATACAGGGGCTCTTTTCTAAAATAGTGCTGCTACGTAATTAATGCACCAAAAATGGTAGCTACTTATTATTATAGTTTTCAATGCATTACCTATCCTAAGCCTAGTAATCCTTTTATAAGAGTTTCCAGAACTAATGGCAGGAAAATCTCTGTGTTAGGATACGAAACATCCACATGGTTTTGAATTTTCCTATGTGCTCTGACATTCCACACCTCTGGGACTGGAACAACCACAGGCTCAAATCTAACCTTACCCAGGCTCTTTAATGACCAAGGCTATTCTCTCTGCATCCTTGAGCCATAAACCTTTGTAAAAAGCCGGACTAGAGCCCTCCTTAGTTGCAAACAGAAACTTAATCTGGGTTTACAGATTTAGTTTATGAAATCTTACATCACTGGGTTTTTAAGAGTTTCAAATCTAATAGATGAAAGTAGTAAGAAACAGATTTACTCAATTTATTTTGTATTGACTAGAATAGCTTTCTTTTCCATAAGTCAGCAACAACAGATAGATGTACATAGAGAGAAAGAAATGTAATTCTCCTGAATTGGTGGAATTACTTTAACAAAAGTAACAACAAAAAAATAAATATAAATATCATAAATAGAAAGGTATGGATGTTATACAAAAAACATCAAGAATTTTACTAAGTGGGCCTCCCTGGTGGCACAGGCGGTTGAGTGCCACACTGTGAAGCTGTCTGCAGCCTCTGCAGCACCAGTTCAATCCCGGCCAGCTGGGGAGGGTCCCACATGGTGCGGCAGACCTCTCCTGACTCTCCCACTGCTCCCCTCAGCAGTATATTTCTTCAGTCTGCCTGTTCTGTTCCCCATTCTGTCTCTGGTGAATCCTCTCACCCTCCCGCGCATCTGGCCTATACCCTGGTTCTTGTATAAATAAATAATTTTTTTTAAAAAAGAAGGTTAAAAAAAAGAATTTTACTAAGAAATACAAAGAAAAATTGAACAAATGAAAGGATACAGCATGGTCTCTGGAATGGAAAAAAATAATAAATATTTTAAAGATATCAAGTATTTTTTATGAAGACATAGATTTAAAATAGTTCTAGTGACAATACATTTGCTTTTACAAAATTATTCTAAACTTTTCCACATTAAAAAAAAAGAATCCCTAAATAAAAATAAATAATGAGGGGAGAACTATACAATACAGTTGTGACAGATACAATATGAAAGCAAATTATAAAGCCCCCAAAATGAAGTCCTGTGGTATTGGTATAATAAAACAAAAACAACATTCAGGAATAGAGTCAGTAGAATGTAATATAAAATAAAGGAAATTCAGAAAAAGTTGTTTTAGCATACATGAAAATTTCAAGAACTAAATGTTTAAAAAGATTGAAAATTTGAAAAGGAAGAAAATTGTGTTAAATATTTAATTTTTGCTAAACTTAAAAGTAAAGATTTGATAAATATAAAGGGTAAAACTTGTACATTAAAAATTATATAACTAGACTATAAAAATTATATAACTGGGCTATAAATCACCAGAAAGATAGGAACTTTGTCCTACTTACTGCAATATCTCTAGAGCTTAGAATAGTGACTGTACATGGTAGATTTATAATTTACTTTTTTCAAATGACACTGCATTTGAGTTCATTCCTTTGGATCAAATGCAGTGCAGATTTTTCTTAAATATTAAAAAATGCTTTAAGATAATCTAATTATTACAAATTAAACCAGCCGAAATTATAACAGGAAGTCTGAACACAGAGTGTTTTACCAATTATTTAGATATTCTTTAATTTCTTTCAACAATGCTTTCTGGTTTCAGGGCATAAGGTCAGCATATAGTTTGTTAATTTTATTCCAAAGTAGTATATTCTTTTTGACTTTATGATAAATGGAATTCTTTTCAAATTTCTTTTTTTGAGTACTGCAAGTGAATACAACTGATGTTTTGTATACTGATCTTGCGTCTTACAACCTTGCTGAATTTGTTTATTAATATTAACAGTTTATTAGTAGATTCTTTAGGGACTTTTATGTACACGACCATATCATCTGCAAATAGAGATCATTTTAGTCCTTCCTTTCCAATATGGATGGCTTGCCTGTATTTCTTTCTCTTGCTCAAGTGGCTACAACCTTCAGTACAAAATCATGGCAAGACTGGATTATTCTTGTTTTGTTCTTGACCTTAGAGAACAGCATTCATTCTTTCACCACTAAGAGCTATGGGCTCTTGCACATGACTTAATAGGTGGAGGAAGTTCCATTCCATTCCTAATTTCTTGAATGTTTTTACCATGACAAGGTGTTGAATTCTTTTGAATGCTTTTTTGGAGTCTAGTGAGATGATACTTTTGTTTTTTATTCTATTGGTAGGATATATTACTTCAGCTAACATTCAGATATTAAACCAAGCTTGAATTTCTGGGATAAAACAAGTTGATCTAATCCTTACTCAAACAGAGTTTTAAGGTATTCATATAGCCAAAACAATCTTGAAAAAGAAGAAAAAAGTAGGACTCATACATCCCAATATACTGTATGGCACTGGCACAAATACAGACACATAGATCAATTGAATAGAATTGAGAGTCCAGAAATATACATCTATAGCCAACTGATTTCAACAAGGGTGCCAAATCCATAGTGGGGAAAGGAGACTTTTCAACAAATGGTGCTGGGACACTAGATGTCCACATGCATAAAATGAATAAAAAACCCAAGTGTAAGAACAAAACCATTCAATTCTTAGGAAAAAAACATAGGGGCAAACTTTCATGACATTGGCTTTTGCAACTTGTAAGGTATGATTTTTATGATGCTTAAATCTTACACATTCAAAGAAATTGTCAGGGAAAATGGTAAAATTCTCAGAAAGAAATGGGAGGAGATAAAAATATGCAACTCACAAAGGAAGAAATACAAACACCAAATAAGCATAAAAAAATTCAAAATTACCAGTTGCTGTGAAATAAAAAAATGAAAGCAAAGCTTGCTTGCTTGTCAAGTTTATCATATTATTAAAGAGGCAAACTCAGCATATTAGATATAAATATAAATATAGAATTTGGATAGAAATATAGATATAAATGCATATACACAGACAGGAAGGAAGTATACCATTGGGGTATAACTGTGCTACTTTAATTTAAAATTATATAGTTTGGGATCAAGAAGATGTGGTACATATACACCATGGAATATTACTCAGCATTCAAAAAAGATAAACACATGCAATTTGCAGCAACATGGATGGCGTTGGAAGGGATCATGTTCAGCGAAATAAGCCAAAAAGAAAAAGAAAAATACCGGATGGTCTCACTCATAGCAGGAATCTAGAAAACTTAAATAAGGGACCAGGAAAATGAATATAAGAAAGTGAAAATCAAAATCAACAAAAAACTATGAACCAGAGACACTTTTTGGGGGTGGGGGGCAGGAGGGGAGGGATTGGGGTCAGAATGGGGCGTTTGCAATTGTATGGGGGAATATAAAAATAAAATTTATTATTTAAATTTAAAAAAAATAAAATAAAATAAAATTATATAGTTTGATCACAAGAAAATTACACTTTCAGGAGTTAAAATAGTAGATGGCAAAAAAATTATACATGAATGAGACTTTTCCTGTAATGCAACCAGAGAAATTAAAAGAGCAATGAAGAAGGAAGCATTCTGGAAAGAAATGCTGGCAGCTACCAACAACAGAGTGATGACAAAAATGTTTCTGTTGCTATAACCCGACACCCAGGAATGGAGGTAACAGGTACCATGGAACACACTCACCCATGTGGCAAACATCCTCATTCCTTACCTGCTTTGGAAGTAACAAGTTGCAGTACAAGAGGCCGTCTCGTTACAATGCCTGACCCTCGAGGGAGAAAGTCCCTACAAAAAAATAAGAAAATAATAGATTAAGGCATTTTAAAGAATTTTAGCTACAAATTTATAAGTCAACTTCTATGGTAACCCCCATCAAAATTCCAGTGGCAGGACTCACAGAAGTAGAACAAATAATCCTAGAATTTGTTTGGAATCACAAAAGAATACCAATAGTCAAACTAATCTAGGGAACAAGCAAAAATGGAGACATCACATGTCCTGACTTCAAACTGTTATCAAATTAATCAAAATAGTATGACACTGATATGTTTAAAAAAAAAAAAACAGAAGGGTCAATGGAACATAATAGTACATAAATAAAATCCCGAGCATATGGTCAATTAATTTACAACAAAACGCTAGAGTTTTGGTGGAGGGTGAGTGACGTATATGCACATATGGAGGTGTGAAATTGTATTACTCCCAAAATTATATGATTATGTAAATGACTGAAAAATTAATACAATTGAGAAAAAATTACAACAAAGGATTTATGAATAGACAATGGGCAAAGGACAATTTCTATAATAAATGGTGTTGGGAAAACTGGACAGCCACATGTGAAGACTGAAGCTAAAGCATTAAAAAACATCTGCATCATCAATGAAAAGAGAAGGCAACCTAATGAAAGGGAGATATATTTGCAAACCATATATTTGACAATAAGTTGATATCTAAAATATGCAAAACACTCATACAACTCAATAGCAAAGAGATACAAACAATCCAAACAAACAATCCAATTGAAAAATGGGCAGAGGCTCTGAATAGACTTTTCCAAAATAGAAACACAAATGGCAAACAGGAACATGAAGAGATGTTCAACATCATGAATCGTAAGGCAAATGCAAATCAAAAGCACAATGAGGTTAGTTAGTATAGCTATTATCAAAAAGACAAGAAATAACAAGTGTTTGCAAGAATGCAGAGAAAAGGAAACCCTCACGTGCTACTGGTGGGGATGTAATTTGGTACAGCTCTCTGAAAAATATTATGTGGATCTTTACAAAAATTAAAAATTGAACTGCAACATAATGCAGTAATTTCACTTCTGGAATTTCCACTTCTGGAAGAAAACAAAAACAGTAACTAGCAAATATATGCATGCACCCTGATGTTTATTGTGGCATTATATATGTATGTAATGTATAATACATTGGGCTGTATAAAAGGAAAAAAAAATCACCATTTGCAACAACATGGATGGAATTTGAGGGCATTATGTTAAGTGAAATAAGTCAACAGAGAAAGGCAAATGCCATTTGTAACTTCCATTTACAAAATAATTAAGTCATGGGGATGTAATATGTAGCATAACTACAGTTAATAATACTGTGTTGCATATATAAAATTACCAAGAGAGTAAATCTTAAAAGTTCTCATCATAAGAAAACAAATGTAACTATGTATGGTGACATGTGTTAGCGAGGTGTTAACAAGACTACTAGTCTAAATTTTGCAATGATACAAGTACTGAATCATTATATTATAGTGCCTACCTGAAGCTAATATAGACCTACCTTGTAAGAGAAGCATTTGCAATGTATAAAAAAAGGGGGGGCTTATATTAACTATTAACCCAGTAACATTATCATAATGACCTTACTGGAATATATCACTCATTCATTTAGCCAGAATAGTCAAAGTTTTTCTTAAATTATTGTATATTTTCAATTCATTTTTATTTTCAGAGAATCAGCATTAATAAAAACATTCGCTACAGCAATTAATCCTTAGTAATTTGAAAATTCAATGCTCTCTCCAGTTTCAAGTTGAATATTAGCACCATCAAACACTGATCATTACTAAAGATATATTAGATTGAATCTTTGAAATATCCTGAAATTTTTCTGTAATAAAACGTCACACAAAAAATGTAAGACCAAATAAAATAAGTATTGTGCATGTAGAAATTAATAGCAAGGTAAAAATATGGACTTCGTGCTTTGTTCTCTTTCCTGATAAATGTGAATTTTTCATAAATAAAGATTTTTATTTTTATTTTTATTTTTATTTATTTCATAAATAAATGATATGTTAAAACACAGTAGACTGGGCCTCCCTGGTGGCGCAGCGGTTGAGCGCTGGGCTGCGAAGCTGCCTGCGGCCTCTGCAGCGCCGGTTTGATCCCCGGTTCGATCCCCGGCCGCCAGCGAGGGTCCCACATGGCGCGCAGACCTCTCCTGACATGCCCGCTGCTCCCCTCAGCAGTGTGCTTCATCGGTCTGCCTGTTCTGCTCCCCGCTCTGGCTCTGGTGAATTCTCTCACCCTCCCACGCTTCTGACTGTACCCAGTGCTTGTATAAATAAATAAATCTTTAAAAAAAAAAAAAAAGAATTCCACTCAAAATACATTTCTGATTCAATGGCAATATTTCCCAAGAAGTGATTCAGAACCAACAGAAAGTATTCTAACCCAAAGGCCCGGGGCCCAGCCTGGACATACAGACTGAGAAAGTTCAGGAGAAGGTATAGGGCAACTGTACACTTCACTAGTTCCAGGGGATTCTGGTGCTCACCATGGCTTGAGAACCAATGGTTGCAAGTTGGAATATGTTACTCAACAATTTGTGGGTGATAATGGCATATTATGAGTTTTGTAGGGAATTTGGCAAAACAGAGCTTCTCAACACAGATGGGATTAAAATAACCAGCAGCTTATAAAATTGGTAAAGGCCACAGAGAATGCTGCAAAACCCATTTCTTCAACTCCTCCAATACTTTATTTATTTGCATAGCAGAACTGGGGTGTAGGCCAGAGATGCAGGGTATGGAATAATTCACCAGAGACAGAGGGGGGAGCAGAAAAGGCAGATTTACTGAAATACACTGCTATGGGGAGCAGCTGGCTAGACAGAAGAGGTCTGTTGCACCTTATGTGGCATAGCTCCCTGGCCAGGGATGGAAATCAGGATGTAGTGGGTATAGTGCTGAGACTTAGCCCATAGGCCACCAAGGAGGCCCAATTCCACCACTTTAGGATAGAGAGTCACAGAATTAAAATTTAGGAAAATTTCCCCTACTACAACTCATTAATTTTATAAGTACTCGTGTAAACTCTAATGGAGGAAATAATACTGAACAGCCTCTTAACTAAGATAATGAATTAATTCTTTAACTCCCAGGGCTGTTTAATTTGCAATATCACTTTATGTGACTAAAAGAGAATTAGTGAAAGTGCAGACATTTATCTGCTAAACAAATGCCACCTAAAATAAATAATATCATCTTGATCAAAAAAATAATAATGAGGAACTAAGAAGTACTGAGAAGATGCTGTGGGCATGACCCTGCACTAGTTAGACAAGAGGAGTTTGAAGCTTAATGGGAAGATAAAGGCATGGTTATAGGAAACCATTTAAGAAGGGAACAGAAAAACTCCATTGGGAACAGAAAAAATTACATTCAGCGGAGAGACAGAATGACAGGGCAAACCCCGATATAAAATGGGGTTGCCTGACTGTAGGTCCTCACCTGCGAGCTTAAAGGGGACTAATTAATGCTAAACTGCAGACATACACAAAAGGTTGATAAAAGGTTTATTTACAAGAGAAAGGGAAATGGGAAATGAATAACTCAGGAAGAAAAAGAGGGAGATAAGTTCATAACTGCGTCCTACCCATTCCGCTGACTTGGAATCCCAATGACCCACCGAGCTGGCAAAAATCTAGCACAAGACGCCCCGTCCACATGGCCAGTTAAATACCCAAACGGAGAGCCTAGTTGCTTAACTCTGCCCTCAGGTCCTCGCAACCTTCCCTTTGGTGATCATGGGATTTGCAGTTCCCAGTGTGGTGGGGGTGGAGTCCACAAAGCCTGTAAGGAGTTTGCTCAGGACATCCTTTTCCCCTATCACTTTTGAAAATATCTAAATGCACATAATGAAGATAACTCTTAATTTTCTCCAAGAGTTATCTTAGAATATTTGCTAGTTTGGATTTTTTAAAAAACATGTAAAGTTAATTAAAATGAGCAGAGCATCCACTGCGTGCCTTCAGAAAGGAAAACAATACTTTGAGACTCAAAAAGAATAACGGGGAAAAAAAAACTCTAGAGAGCTGGAGGCATCTGTCGGAGTATTAGACCATGAACAAGGCTTGAGGATGTATAGACGCCAAAGAGAAACATACAGTTCTTAAATGTCTAACACCATTTAAGAAATCAATAAAATATTCTTGGAAAAAAAGGGGGTAGAAAAGAAAGAAGGAAAGAAGAAAGGAAGAAGAAAAAAATGGAGGTTTAGTTACTACCCTTGTGCTGTTATCGGTTTCAACTCGGGCTTATGACTATGTATTTATAAAGTAGATTTAGTAACAATCCTCTTGAACATTATTAAAAACTACTAGAAAGTATCGAACATCTTACATACCAAATAATTATCACGTGTCTAAGTGAAAAGTAAGTCCACGAATATATCTAATGCATCTCTCTTATTAAGTAAACAAAACTGGGCAATAAGAGTAATAAATGGATTCAGTACCCAAGCCCCTTCTTACTAACTCACACTTACTGGCCCCCTTCGTGGCGCTCACAAGTCCTACCTCTCACATGTCTTATCTCCTAACTCCAATAAATACATTCTCACCAAAGTCAAAAAAGAATTTGGTAGTCAAATCCTTCTCCTGACTTCACAGAAGTATCCGAAATGCAATAAGCCTTAGAAAGAAATTTCTCTCTTCTGCAGAGCGACTATTCTGGCATCCAGTAGATTCTTGTCATTCCGATGATCCAGCAGCATGAAAACCATATGCCTAGCACCCTCCTGCTGTGTGAGCTGTGGGGGAGGGGTGAGCCCTCAAATGAACACAGAACCCTGGGTACCAATGAATGGGCCAAATTCTCTCTAAACCTCAGCTTCTTTTGCTGCTAAGCTGTGAAGAAACTATAGATCTAATGAAAGGCAACATATGGCAACTCTTTAAAAACAGAACCACCATAGGAAAAAAATTACTATTATTATTACTACTGTAGAATTACCGGTGTGTTTTCCCTGATAATGTAGCATT